CTCACTATACATTTGGCTCTATGGGGTCTGTCTGGCATTTTCCCCCGCCATCTGATCCAACTTACTACCAGTTGGTGATAAGTTGACAGCTCAGCTACTCTCTTCACCTGAGTATCCAAAACAAACTGCCGTAAATCAGATGACACGACTACAAAGTCAACCATCGATGTACAACCTAGGGCATCCTAGTGCCAAGTGAACTTATGGACACCCTTAAGTTTGGACATGGAGTTCGTGATGGACAAACTATGACTAGCACAAAAGTCCAACAACAGAACACTGCTCAGTTTCAGATAAGAGAGGCCGTTCCTTCTAATCACACCCCTCCTGGTCACACTGTCTTTACCCATGTGGGCATTGAAGTCCCCCAGCAAAATAAAGCAGTCCCCAGCTGGAGCAGCTTCTAGCACCCCTGCCAAAGACTTTAAGAAAGCCAGATACTCTGAACTGACTTTCAGAGCGTGGGCACAAACAAGAGTCAGAGCCTGCCCCTGCACTCGAAGGCGCAGGGAAGCCACCCACTCATCTACCGGGGAAAACTCCAACACACAGGTACCATGTTGGAGAGCTAAAAGTAAACCCACACTGTTGCCTCTCACCATGGGCAACTCCAGAATGGAACAAAGTCCAGCCCCTCTCAAGAAGATTGGTTCCAGAGCCCATGCTGTGCATCAAGGTGACCACAACTATATCTAGTTGGTACCTCTCAACCTCACGCACAAGCTCAGCTCCTTCCCCACCAGAGAGGTTATGTTCCATGTCCCAAAAGCCAGCTTTGGTAAGCCAGGGTCCGAGTGCCAAGGTCCCCACTTTCAGCCACTTCCCATGGCATCTCGCACCCAACTTGTATGGTTCTTCCTGCTGGTGGTGGATCCGCAGGAAGGCAAACCCATGTTGTTCCTTAGAGCTGAGCCAGACCGGGCCCCATGGGTAGAGACCCGGTCACCAGGCACTCGTTGACGAGCCCCTCCCTAAGGCCTTGCCCAAGGGTGGGGCCCCGATAGCCCATGTTAGGGCAAGGGACACTGAGTTCCTTGTCCCTTTTTGATCATAAAAGTCTTCTGAATCACTCTTTGTCTGGCCTGTCACTTAAAACTAATCTGCCTTGGGAGACCCTACCAGGGGCAATCACAACGGTCCCCGCTGCATAGCTCCTAAGATCATTCAGGTGCACAAATTCCACTATGATAAAGTTGTGATTCAAGGAGGATTGTGATCCATCCATCCATTATCTTCCACTTGTTCTGAAATCGGGTCGCTGGGGCCATAGCTTGAGCAGCGAAGCCCATTCATTTCTTTCCACAGCCACTTCTTCCAGCTCGTCTGGGAGGAGTCCAAAGCGTTTTGAGGCCAACCAAGAGACATAGTCTCTCCAGTGTGTCCTGGGTCTTCCCCAGAGTTTCCTCCCAGCTGTACTTGTCCAAAGCACCTCCCTACAGAGGCACCCAAGGTGTGACTTTACCAGATGCTCAAACAACCTCAACTTGCTCCTCATTGTGTGGGAACAGCGGTTCTACTCAGAGTCTCTCCCGTATAACTGAACTTCTCACCTCATCTCTATGGGAGATTCCAGCTACCCTGCAAAGAAAACTCATTTCAACCACTTCTATCCATGATCTCATTCTTTCGGTCACTACCCAGAGTTGTTGACCATAGGTGAGGGAGAGAACGTAGACCAACCGGTAAACAGAGCTTTGCTTTACAGCTCAGCTCCCTCTTCACTAAAATGGATTGATACAGAGTCCGATATATTGCAGATACTAAACCAATCTGTCTGTCAATCTCATGCTTCATTCTTCCCTCACTCATGAACAAAACACCAAGATAATTGAACTCCACTTTAGGGAGAACCTCACCCTTGACCTCAAGAGAGAATTCCACCATTGTCTGACTGAGGACCATGGCCTCAGATTTGGAAGTGTTTATACTCATCCCAGCCACTTCACACTCGGCTTCAAACCATTCCAGTGAAAGCTGAAGATCATATCACAATACCATACCATACCATACTGTACCATACCATACCAATTTATTTATAGAGCACTTAAAACAGCAACAAGGCCAACCAAAGTGCTGTACAAAAGAAAACAAACATGCACAGCGGACAGGAAAACGTAAAATAAAAATACAGATACAAATAGTAACAGAAGCTAACTAAAATGGCCAACAGTGTAGAGTACAGACAGGACTAAAACAAATCACACCATGTTAAAGGCAAGAGAATAGAAGTGGATCTTCAAGCGAGACTTAAAGACTGAGAGTGTGGGAGCCTGCCGGACACTCAGTGGCAACTCATTCCACAGTCGTGGGCCTGCAACAGAGAAAGCCCTGTCACCTCTGAGCTTACGACGGGTTTCTGGGACTGAGAGAAGCATCTGGTCTGCTGACCTCAGAGAGCGCGGTGGGACATATGGCTGCAGAAGATCAGTGAGATAGGATGGGGCGGAACTGTTCAGTGATTTAAAAACATACATGAGAATTTTGAATTGGATCCGAAGGTGAATGGGTAGCCAGTGCAGGGAGGCCAAAACTGGTGTGATGTGCTCTCTATAGCCTGTACCAGTTAAAAATCGGGCTGCAGCATTTTGGACCAGTTGTAGACATGCAATGGAGTACTGACTGATTCCAAACAGAAGTGAATTGCAGTAATCAAGCCTAGATGTTATGAAGGCGTGGATCACTGGCTCAAGGTTCTTTTTGGAGAGTATAGGCTTCAGCTTAGACAGCCGTCTCAGCTGAAAAAAACAGGATTTGACCATCATGTTTATGTGACTGTTGAGTTTTAAGGATGGGTCCATTATCAACCCCAGATTAGTGACCTTTTGTTTCTCTAGCGGGGCTAGAGAGAAAAGGTCAATGTCATGGTTCATGAGTGAGTCACTGGGATGGAACAGCATGACTTCAGACTTCTTCTCATTGAAGCTTAAGAAGTTTAAAGCCATCCAGTCCCAGATGTCAGCCAGGCAGTCAAGAAGAGGCTGAATAGAGCGTGTGCCTCTGTGCCTCAGGGGGAAGTAAATTTGGCAATCATCGGCGTAGAAATGAAAGGGTATGTTGTGTTTGCAGAAAATAGCACCTAGTGGCAGCAGGTATAAAGAAAAGAGAAGGGGACTGAGGATGGACCCCTGCGGTACCCCCCACTGGAGCTCTGTCGATGCCGAACTAAAATCTTTGATATTGACACAGAAGGTTCTGTCAGAGAGGTAGGACCCAAACCATTTAAGGGCTGACCCTGTGATGCCCACCCACTGCTCCAGTCTAGAAATGAGGATCTTGTGGTCGATGGTGTCAAAAGCAGATGTAAGGTCCAATAGGACAAACAGCACAGAATCACTTGCGTCTGTGGATATGAAAATGTCATTAAAAACCTTCAGTAGAGCAGTTTCAGTGCTATGGAGAGATTTGAAGCCAGATTGGAATAACTCTAGGATAGCGTGATCCCCGATGACACCAACGATGACACTAACAGGACCACATTATCTGCAAAGAGCAGAGAAGAAATCCTGAGCCACCAAATCGGACTCCGTCTGCCCCCTGGCTGCACCAAAAAATTCTGTCCATAAAAGTTATGAATAAAATCGGTGACAACAAGCAGCCCTGATGGAGTCCAACTCCCACCCTGAAGGGGTCCAACTTACTACTGGCAATGCGACCCAAACTCTCGATGTCCACGCAATTTTACAATGGCGTTTCAATCAAGAAAGCCCCACAACATCCAGAGACTTAAGGAAATCAGGGGGAATCTCATCCCTGCCCGGGATGGATGAGCTTTTTAATCACTTCAGCAACCTTGGTCACGGTTATGGACAGACCAGCCCCAGAGTTCCCTGACTTGGCTTCCTCCATGGAGGATGTGCCGGTGGGATTGAGAAGGTCCAAGAAGTATTCTTTCCACCTCCTGACGACATCAGTGGCTGAGATCAACAGCACCCCAGTTTCACTGAACACAGTGTTATTAAAGTGCTGCTTTCCTCTCCTCAGCTGCCTGTTTTGGTGCCAAGTGCACTTATGGACACAATTATGTTCGTCAAACTATGGCTAGAACAGAAGTCCAACAATAGAACACCGCTCAAGTTCAGATCAGAGAGGAAGTTCCTCCTAATCACGTCCTTCCAGTTCACACTGTTGGTATCCATGTGGGCATTGACGTCCCCCAGCAGAATAAAGGGAGTCCCCAGCTGGTGTACCTTCCATCATCCCTGCCAAGAAGGCCAGATACTCTGAACTGCAGTTTGGCACTTAGGCACAAACAACAGACAGAGCCTGTCCCCCCACGGGAAGGTGCAGGGAAGCTACCCTCTCATCTACCGGGAAAAACTCCAACACACAGGCACCAAATCGGGGGGCTAAGAGTAGACCCACGCCAACTCAGCGTCTCTCACCATGGGCAACTCCAGAATGGAATAAAGTCTAGCCCCTCTCAAGGAGATTGGTTCCAGAGCCCATGCTGTGCCTCGAGGTGAGCCCAACTATATCTAGTCGGTACCTCTCAACCTTATGCACAAGCTCAGGCTCCTTCCCTGCTATAGAGGTTACATATCAAAAAGAAATGCATCTGGACAGCTTTCTTTTCATAAGTCTCATCTCCACAGTGGCTGGACATTGTTTAATCATTCTGGATAGAACCAGTGACATTGGACTGAGCCAACTCAAAGTGAGCTAGGGTGGGACTAGAATTTAGTGAAACCATAAGACGGTTTCCATTCACAGCTGTATATTGGTTACCTCTTCACATTAATCTCTATAAATCTTTATAGTCCAACAGGTTTCTGAAAAACTTTCTTGTTTTACATTAAAAAATAACAATTTAAAGCAGAATGGCATGCTGCAGTGACAAACAATAAGTAGTTCAATGGAGCAGCTGAATAAATATCTACATATTCATTCCAGCTGTTTTAATTCAAGAATTCTAAAATTCAGGAAACATATATAAAACATGAGTACACACACGTGCATTTATTTATTTGATTGTTCTGCTAACAGCCACTGTGTTCATGTAGAAATGCGGTGAACCTGGCGGTGTTAAAGCTGAACGAGCAGGGGCTGCTGGACAAACTCAAAAACAAGTGGTGGTATGACAAGGGAGAATGCGGCAGCGGAGGAGGGGAGAGCAAGGTTAATACACACACTCACCTGCGCACACACACACACACACACACACACACACACAACAACAACAACACACACACCTCAAGCAGGTACAGGTGAAGGTAAACTGGGATGGTCTGTTAAATGTAAAATGTAAAGAAGCAGCACAGACAGTGCTACGTGTAATCACAAAAACTAGCAGCTCTTTAAATGTGAAGATGAAGCCTTTTACAAAACCTCTAAATGTTTTTTCAAAGCATGTTGCTGTTGCTCATGAGCACTATGGATAGAATGCAGGTAGTGTTGTTTTCTGTACTGCTTCTTCCACTGATGTGTTGAACACCGTTTGGTTGAGGTCTAGTTTGGTGCAGAATCATTAAGTCTAAGCGGGCTTTGCTGACCTCAGACCAGATGGCTTCAACATCAGAGCTTTTGACGGAGGGTTTGAGTGATCTGTCCAAACTCTGTGCATCATCGGCTCTGGCCAGCCAGGATACTGTGGCTGGAAACAAACCGCTTTCATCGCAGCGCCTCTCATTGTTTGTCTGGGATAAATGGTGGAGCCCTAAAAACACTCGAGAAAAAAAATCATTTAGTTAAATAACTGTCACTGAAATATCTTAATATAGAGATGTAAAATCCAAGTTGTGACACAATATTTATAGGTTTGTCACTAATTGCTAAAAAGGTTTTGTGAATGCCAGTTGTTGATGGGCCCCTTGTTGGTCTCAGGAACAGAATGAGAACCGCTGCCTTCTTAATAACATAA